ATTGAGAAATAGTAAGAAGATAATAACTGATATTAATTACTGAAAGTGTTTAAACATGCCAATTAAGTAGGAAACAAGGAAGCATCTTGGTGATTATTAAAGATATGCCTATTATCTTCTTCCCTCCTTCCCCACCTCTTTTGGGGGAGGTGAGGGGAGGGTTTGGGTTTTAACTCATTCATTCTAGAATTAATAATGAATTTCTAACTGTACATATCTTCTTAACTTTGATTTTTCACAGAAGAATTATCAAAGTGGTACCAATTTATGCTTATATCATGGAATGTTGGAATTTATAAGAACTATTAAATGCTACCATTTTTATATTTATGTACCACCTTAAAATTGCACATTTTTGTTGAATGTCCATAAAAGCCTTGTCTTCTGGCCTCTTACAGTTAGAATCTGCTGTTTTCCTTGTGCCTCAGCTTCTCTTTGCCTGAAAACACATTATTTAAGCCTTCTTCATTTCACAGTAACTGGTCATTAGCATTCCTTGCCCTTAACCCACAAGTCCCAGACCTCATATGTAGTAGATGTATTCTTGTGATTTGGCTATCAGGCCCTGCCTTAATTGACATGTTATTTTCAGGAATGGATATCCTGGATTCCTTTCCTGGTTCTAGATTACTAATGTTTTCCTGTATATTTTAATTCCTTTTTTTCTAATAAACAATGGTATATTCTGAAATACATTGGTTAGATTCCTTGTCTGACTTCTCTAAACTTATCTATCTCTTATCACCATTCTTAGCATAGTGCTGTTTCTCTAATTTTACACAAGTCTAATGGTTAAAAAGTAATCATGGTCTGGGGATGGTCAGTGATAATACACAGTTCATACTCAATGAATATCGTTGCTATTGAACATTTTTATATGATCACATGGGACATTGGAAGTTGAGAAAAATATAAAGAGAGATTAACAACATCTTAGTGTTGATGGGAAGTTTTATACTTTTACCTTGCAATATAAAGGGTACCAAAAATCAGTGAAGATTTAAACAGCATGGTTAACAAGCTTGATCTTATGGCCATATACACAACAATGTACCCATAATGGAGAACACTTTTTTCTTTTTGAGCGCTATGGAAAAGTTGTACCCATGTACACACACACAGACATACTCTAGAATATAAAGCCAATTTCAGTTATTTCAAATGATTAATATTATATAAGTTATCTAATCTGATACAATAAGGAAGCACTTAATAAGAAAAAAGAAAAATGTATACATATAGAAATTCTAAAACGATACCTGTAAACAGCTAAATTATAAAATAGTACATTATAAATTTATGGGATGCTTTAGTTAAAGTATTAAAGGAAATTTATAGTTGTAAATGCTTATACAGAACAGAAGAAAGACTTAAAATTAATGATACATACGTTTAACTTAAAATTTTAAAACAGCAGGATTAACACAGATGAAATAGAATAAAATAACACAGACCAGAATGTAATGAAATGGAAAATAAAGATATAATAGAGAGGATCCTCAAAGTCAAATGATGGCAGTTTAAAAAGAATAATAGAAGAGACAAACCTCTATCAAATTTAAAAATGGAAAAAAAAAAGAAAAATGCTACAAATGAAAAAAGAGAACTACAGATGCTGTAGGGATTCAACAGATAAAAGGATATCTACGACTTTGTACAAATACTTTTGAAAACCTTGGATGAAATAAATATATTCCTAGAAAAATAGTGTTTATCAAAATTGGGCAGGGAGAAAGAGAAAACCTGAGTAGTCTTATAACTATAACCAATGAAGAAATAGAATCAGTAGCAAATATCTTCTTTCTTATAAAGAAATATCAGGTCCAAAGAGTTTAATAGGTGAGTTCTAAGAACAGATAATTCCTATTTTTTTTTTATAAACTCTTCCAGAGAATAAAAAAATAGCATTTTTCAGCTTATTCAATAAGGCTGGCATAAATAAAACCAAACAAGGAAAATACAAGAAAGTAAATGTATAGGCCAGTCTCAATAATGAACATTTATATAAAAGGCTAAACAAAATATTACTATATTCATTCCAGTAACGTGTTTTTTTAAAAAAGGAAAATAAGTTTATCTCTGAAAAACGGAAAATAGATTATGTAATCTACCACAGTTACTGATTATCTCAATAAATATAGGAAAATATTTGATAAAATAGAGCACCCATTCCTTTCTGAATATACATTCTATCTTCTTTTTCTCTCTCTTTCTACAAATATACATAAATACATACACATATATCTTCATCATATATCATTTATATGATATATTTATGATATATAATATAGATCCTCCATATATCATGTATATATTTATGATACACTATTTATATACACACATTTATCCAGATTTATTTACGTGTATGTGTCTAACAAATAAGGGAATTTCTTTTACCTATTAAAGACCATCTACCAAAAACCTAGAACAATGATCACACTTAGAGGTAAAATACTAAAAATATTCTCTTTAAGAAGAAATTCAAGGGAATTATAAACAAAATTGAGGATTCTAGCTACTTTGGAGTAGTGAGGGAGGGGAGGAGAGAAAGATGAGACCAAGGCAGAACACAAAGAGGCTCTCCTAATGTACTGGTACATTCTCCATCTCAACCTGAGTGGTGGGAATGTTGGTTTTCATTTTCATTTTAATCTTTAACTGAACCTCATTTTATGGACACTTTTTAAAATATATCATTGCGCAAAAATATTTTAATGAGTAAAAGAGATGTACTATAGTGATAGTGTAGAATAGTTTTTAAAGATACTTGTCTATGAAGGAGCAAAGATAAAAGGCATTTTTTTGGGGGGGAGCCGGCAGGGTCTGGCTCTTTCACCCAGGCCGGAGTGCAGTGGCATCAGCATAGCTCACTGAAATCTCAAACTTTTGGCTCGAGTAATCCTCCTCCCTCAGTCTCCTGAATAGCTGGGACTACAAGCATGCGCCAGTACCCCTGGCTAACTTTTTAATGTTTTGTAGAGCTGGAATTCTCACTATGTTACTCAGGCTGGTCTGGAACTCCTGGCTTCAAGCAATCCTCCTCCCTCTATCTCCTGAAGTGCTAGGATTACAGGCATGAACCACTACCCCCAGCCAGAAAACAGTTTTTCTTGATGTTCATGGAGCCATGAGTGAGCTCAGTTTTTGCATGTGCGTTGTTATTTGGCTTATTTGGAACTGGAAACACTGTTTCCCTTCATGTAGAATATCAGAAGCACTGGGTTAAAAGACAAAACTCATTTTTCTCTTTGAGGAATCATATTGTAGTACTTTGGGAATTTCAAATGAACATAGAAAGCAGTATAAATACTTTCAAAGGATTTTTAAATTAAAGGAGAAAGAATATCAATATAATACACAAAAGAAGTTTTGTAAAAAGAATTTAGTTTAAAAGATCAGCAAATTCTGGGGAAAAGTAATATACTGTGCTTATATGACTACAAAAAACCTTTGATTTCAATTATAAGAAAATGTCTCCAAGGGTTAATCTTCCAAATTTAACCACAGGATACCAAATAAGGATATGTCATGGGAATCTACTCCAGGCTATCAACTAGATTGCCTGACTGTATACAAGGCTTAAGATTACACACATTAAAATGAAAAGTTTTGTCTACTCCCTTATTTTGATTCTGAATCATCTATTTTTATTTTTATTCCTGTTTACCATTGCTTTATATCAGAACATCTTAATTCTATGAAATAGTGAAAAAGACTTTTCGCTAACCCCTTTCTAGAAGTCTACAATAGAAATTAAGCTGCTTTTCCTTCTAAATGAATCTTTCTTTTCCCTCTGGCATATGAATGACTTTAGTTTCAAAGGAATAGAATCTGACTAGATGCTGGTTTTCTTCAGTCATCGAAGTGGGCTCTGCTTTATTGTACATGTGTTATGACATTATAAATGCTCTGATAGAAGGAAACATAATCACAATTATTTGTTCAATTTTTATTATATTTGCTTTCCTTAGTTTTCTGTATGTCACACGCTTTCTGAATAAGTTTTATAAAATAAAATATAGGCAGTTCCATGAAAATGGTAAATTGTTTTTTTAAGACAACATAAAGAAATTGGTATTTTTTACTGGGTGATTTATTTTTAACATGTATCTTTTTGTTGTTGTTGTTAATCTCATATTCTTTTCCTTGTATGTGGTATTTTGCTCAGTGTCATTTTCTTCATGCTGTGCTGTCTCATTGCCTGTGTTCTCTGAGTTATGAGAAATATTGATAAGATTTTTTAATATCAGGTATGTGCCAGCTAAGTTTGTAAATAAGCTAGAATGAATTGGTATGTGGTAAAGACGAGATGCTATTAATTAAAAGATAATCCAAGAAAACATGTTACTTTGTTATAATGATTTGAAAAGCCAGATGTCGACAGACTTATTTCATTCCTAAGAGAATGTTTTGGGAAATTAACTGCAAAACACTGATATTTTTATGATGCATATTTATTTCTTTTTGACAGGAGCTTTAAAAGTCATAGAAAGTAATAAATCTAAAATAATTATGCTCATTTTTTAAAAAGCAAAGAAAATGTTTGGTAAAGACTTCCACAAAAGAGATCGGGTAGTCTTCAGCACGCAAGAATAGTTTTCTGAGAAACTTTCTCTGTTACATAAACAAAACCTTAGGAATTTTTCTCAGCTAACAGTAATATGGTGCTATAATGTGCATTTGAATTAATAAAATAATAGATTTCAATAGCTACATCCACAGTGCTTTTCCTTACCCTACATTCTTACAACACACTCTATTCTGTAGTCTAACATGCTAGTTTTTTTAAATAGCTGAGAACTATAACAAGCCATAAAGCTTATTGTTATTTTCCTTCTTGACTATGCCATCCGTTAGAGACAAAAGCAAAGATAAAAATCTCATTGAGCACAAAAGATCCTGTGTTACTTAATGTACATTGTATGGAGACACATTGCTCTGGGAAAAAATAAAAATAATAATGCTGTGTTCTAAAGAAAATCTGTGTTATTTCATTACAGATGGGGAACACAAGGAGATTTCACCACCACCCATCCTCGGCCTGTGGTAAAAGTAAAACTCTTCACAGAAAGCACTGGGGTCCTGGCCCTTGAAGATAAAGAGCTGGGAAGGGTGAGTTATGGTCAGCCCTCTGTGTCCAAGGTTGCACAGTTGTAACTTCTTTGGATTCGGAGTTAAGGTAACCAGTAATTTCTGGCCATGGATTAAAAGGCTCATCTTTATATTTGAAGTCATCTGTTCTTTATGTTCATTGTGATTCGACTAATTATAGAATAGCTTCTAAGTCATTTATCTCTCTAACTTCTTCCATTTTCCCTGCGAGAAGATCTTCCTCTTACTCCCTTTAACATTAAATTGTTTTTTTCCTATAGTATATATGAAAGGTTATCGACAGTCTTACTTAGGAAGTAGGTATGCTCCAATGACTGACTATAAAGTTGTCTTCTGTAATGTCAGCCTATCTTACCCAGACCTGAAGACTGTATTCATAGATATCTTCCAGAGAATAAACCCTTCAAAAATCTTTCTTGAAATTTTCTGGTAATAATGGACTGCTTATGCAGTGCTAGATGTTGAAGGATTCTAGAATGATTCCATATATTGGAAATTTTTTAAAAACTGAAGTCGGGATTTCTATTCATTTCAAATCCTATTCTTCTACCCCCTTTATGCTGTTGGAATTCTTCCATTTCTAGGAATTTTGTAAGTCTGTACCCACACTCCAGAGGTTGTGAGTCTGCAGTCACAATCCAGACTTCCTCCTCTGTTTTCTTGGTACATGTATTTGTTAATACCTAAGAGAACTATACTGTTAATTCATTCATGTGCTTATATATTTGTGCATTTTTTCATTCAACAGGTTGAATAAAAATATATAGAGAGAATAATCTATAGATAGAATAATCTAACACAAGAGACTTGGAGAGGCTTTATGATCTTTATGGATTTATGAATCAGGGTTTTTCATTTAAACTGTTACTACATTAATTTTACCTTATATATTTCCTTATTGTAACTATTTTTCAGTATTTAACAGCAGCCATTTTAAGTCTAATGCTATGAGTAATTCTTGAGCTATTTTTAGTTTATTTCTCTGCCAGTCAAATAATATAGTTAAGCAGTTTTTAGATTAGGTGCATAAGTGATATATATTCTACACAATTATATATCTGAGAAAGGTCTCATGTTCCCTTGCTCCCTTCATACATGAATGACAACTTTTCTGTCTAACCCAGGGTTTCCCAACCTTAATACTATTGATATTTTGAACAAGATAATTCTTCATTGTTGGGTGCTGTCCTGTGTATTTTATGATATTTAGCAACATCTCTAGTCTCTAGTTAATAGATACCAGTAGTTTCCTCCGACCTCCACTAGAAGAAAGAGAATCAAAAATGTCTCTAGACATTGCCAAATGTCTGCGAGGGAGGCCTGGGGAGGCCTCGCAAAATCAACCCTGCTTGAGAACCACTGATCTATACTAATGACCTCAATAGATTCCAAGATTATAAATATCATTTATATGCTAATGCTTCCAAATTTTTATTATTAATATTTTTCTCCCATGGAGATTCATATTTGCATAGCCAACCTACATACTTGGTATTCCCAACTGCATATTAATAGATACTCAAACTAAATATTTTTGAAAGAGAACTTATGATTTGTACTCCTACAAAGTCAGCTATAGAGGCAGTTGTTAAGCCAGTGACCTAGATATCCTCCTTGTTCCTTCTTTCCTTTCCCTTATACCCAATCTATTTGCAAGTCCTGTCAGATTTTCCCTATGTTTATTCTGAATCCATCCACATCTCAACAGTTCCACTGTACCCACATCCAGGGCACCATCATTTCCCTAATAGTCTATTTACTACTTTCCCATTTGTCATCTTGTCCCCTCTGATCCAACCTTCACACCTCAGCCCTATGATCTAATCAAAATTCTAAACAAATCACAGCATTCTGTCCTTAAAATCTTCCAGTATCTTCCCATTAATTTGGAATAAAAATCAGACTCCTCATCACAGTGTAGCAGGCCCACCAGGAGTTCTCAGGCTGTGGCCCTGGGCCAGCAGCATGAGCAGCACCTGGAAGATTGTTAGAAATGCAAATTCTCAGGCCCCACTTTTGATTGGCTGAATCAGAAACTCAGGGTGGAGGGTTGCAATCTGTTTTTAATAATCCCTTCTGGTGATTTTGATACACACCAAAGGTGAAGAACCCCTGATCTACATGAACTTCTGTCTCTCCAAATTTATCTTCTGTTATAACTTCCTTGCTTGCTGTCATTCTTCATTTACACCTGGCTTTCCTTCTTAGACTCACAGACCTACTTTAGGTCTTTAGATGTATTTTGGTCTGAATGCACATGCACATACACTCAATTAGAGGAAACCGTTGGTCATCTCTGGATGTTATGGCTATTGGCACTGTCTTCTATATATTCGTCCAGTTTTCTAGTTAGAAAAAAAATAGTTTTTTTAATTTAAAGGAAAAGGCTTTACATGATCTGAAATATACAGTCTAAAATCTTATGAATATGTATTTGGGGAGCTTTATTTTTAAAGTGAAGTTTTTTTTTTTAATGAAGAATTTGTGTAGCATTTAAATTTGAAAGACCAGCAACAGAGAGAGCACTTAAAATAGCTTTATACCATAACAAGGTACTACTGTACACCTACTAAAATGCATAAAATACAGAAAAGCTGACAATAACAAATCTGCTGGTGAAGATGCAGAACAGAAGCTGTCATTCATTGCTAGTGGGAATGCAAAATCATACAGCCACTTTGGAAGACAACTTACTGGTTTTGTGTAAAGTTTGTATAAAGTGCAGACTTACCATATGACTCCAACATTGCATTACTAGGTCTTTATACAAAGGTTTATGAAATTTGTGTCCATGCAAAAGTCTGCATGTGAATGTTTATAACAGTTTTATTCATAATCACTAAAAATCGGAAGAAGTCAAGATGTTCTTCGATACTATTATGGAATGGATAAACTGTGATACTTCCATACAATGGAATACTACTCAGTGATCAAAAGAAACAAGCTATTAATTCATGTAACATAGATGAAGCTTAAATGCAAATGAAAGAACTTAAACCCAAAAGACTATATGTATTGTATGATTCCCTTCATTCTAGAAAACTATAGGAATGGAACAGTTGAGGGTTTGCCAAGGATTGAGCAAGTGGGGAGTCATTGGCCACAAATAGATGCCCATGGCATTTTTAGGGTAAAGGAACTATTCTGTATGGTACTGGATATTAGATGCATACTTGTTTGTATTTGCCAAAACCCATAGATCCATACATAACAAAGAGTGTGTATCAATATATGCAAACTATAATAATACACACTCGCTCATGTATACATCAACCAGTGGTATCATGGGGATCCCAGTGTGGAATGCAGACTAAGACAAATGAAATCAATTGTATTGCAAATTTATGCACTGAAAGGGGTGATGAGAAAGGAAACAGACCTAAGTAACCTGAGGGGAAAACATAATCTACAGGCACTGTCTTTAACAAGGGATGAAGACTAACACTCCCAGTGATGGCATGTGGATATCATGTACCTCCTAATATGATGTTATGAGAAAGGCACACTTTACCTCTGCTATATTCTTTCCCTATACTCCAACATAAGCCCATCTAATCATGTGAAAAACATCATCCCAACCCAGATTGGTGACATTGTACAGGATAATTGGCCAGTACTCTTCAAGACTGTCAAGGTCATGAAAAACAAGACTGAGAAAGTGTCACAGATCAGAGGAGACTAAGGAGACATGACAGCTAAATGCAATGTGCTGTCCTGGATTGGGTCTTGGAACAGAAAGAGGACATTAATGAAAAACTTGTTAAGTCCAAATAAAATCTGGAGTTTAGTTAATAGTAATGTACCAGTGTTTCTTGGTTTTAACAAATATACCATGGTAATAAATGCTGTTAATTTTCAGGGAAACTTTAATTTTCAGGAAATTTTCAGGAATACAGGAACTCCCTATACTCTCTTTGTAACTTTTCTGTAGGTCTTATTCTAAAATATAAAGCTTAGTCTTGAAAATATTTATAATAAAAAGCCTTTCAAATGTCTCTTGAAATGCCTCAGTGTATACTTTTCAAGAAATGAACATTTTCTTACATCACTTCATTATTACACCAAAGAAATTTAATATTGATTCAGAAATATGTGCCATACAATCAATATCCAGAATTCCCTAATTATCCCAGCATGTCTATAAAAGCTGGGATTTTTCTCCCCAATCCAGGACACAATTCAGGATTAAATCCAGGATCATGCATTGCATCGGATTGTCACGACTCTTCAGTCTCCTTTGAGTGCCTCCCTGCCTTTTTATTTTTTTTTATTTTTTGGCTTTCATTATAATCACATTTTTGAAGAGTCCAAACTAGTTTTATAAAATGTTATTCATTCTGGACTTGTCTTGTTTTTTCATAACTGGAGTCAGGTAAACATCTTTGACAAAACTACCACCTACATGATGTTTTGTGCTTCCCATTGCGTCGTATCAAAAGCCATGTTGGTGACAGTTTTTCCCGGTATTGGTGATGTTAATTAAGTATGATCACTTGGTTAAGGTGGCATCTGCCAGTTCTTTCTATTATAAAGGTACCTTTTTAAATTTGTGATTTTAATAAGCTGTGGGGTATTAATTTGAGAAAGTTTCTGTAACTACCTTTCACCCAGTGTTTTATCTACAGATTCATGGATTTTTAAAAATTTGGTGTGTCATAACCAGTTTATGTGATTTATTTATTTAGTTTTGATGATCAGATTGTGGCAAAGGAGCTGTGTGTGTGTGTGTGTGTGTGTGTGTGTGTGTGTTGTATATGTGTTCCTTTTCTTTTTCATTTTTTTCTTCTTTTTTCTTTTTGATTGTGGACCTATCAGTCTTTGTTGTCTGGGACATGAGATGTTATAGGCTCAGCTTATATACCTCCTGCATCAGGCCTATAATCAACAGTGGCATTATGGGAGTTGTTTTGTTTTGTTAGTGATAATGAAATTTAGAAACCAACATCCTACATATTATCACTTTCTGGTTAAGAAATATTTTTTTTTTTTTAAATCATGAG